GATTGAAAGTTGCCAATCTTTGCAGTTCTTTTTATTTTTGATAACTGTCTTACTGAAATTAAAATAGGGTTCTGACAAATTATTATCCACTATTGCGGTTTTTTCAAGTATCATTAAGTAGTACTCAATAGCAGTGTGGAATATATATTTTTTCCAAAGAGTAGAAGTTGACTCTGATACTTAAAAATCATCAGTCATGGTAGTATATAACAAATCTAAATAGCAATAATTGAATTTATTATCAATAATTAACAATTTATCGTTACACATTTTACCGGAGGCTTCGTGTTCGGAGTGTTAATTTACTGTACTGTTGTTTAATTGTTTGTTGTGTTATTTAAGAACAAATTAGTGATAAGTTTTAAGTATTATTCCAATAACCTCCGAGCAGGCAATGAAATCAACTTGTGGTGTGCAAAGTGAAGTTTAATTAATCACCTTTGAACGAAGGAAGAACTTGATTCCAGTGCCATCGTCCATACGACGTTTGCCACTATTTTCTGAGAAGTCAACCGGTCAAACACAACGTAGGGCCTGGTCACATCCTGGACGGATCAAGAAGGTATTGTGAGATTCACTCTTACTTTACAGTATAATTGTTTTACTATTTTTATCAAACTTGTGAAAACGATTACAAAACATTGTGCTTTGGATAAATGAGCATTTTATCCGATTTTGATTTTTTTTTCTCTTTATTATAGAGATTTTTAGCCATATGGCTAGTTCATTTCTTCGGATTTTGAATGAATAAATTAGTGGTTAATTCATTAATTCAATTGTACAGACAAATATACATGGTTGGAAGCTAAAAGATAGTTGAACATGAGTTGATACTACCAAGAAGATGACTGCACATTTTGGACTTTTTACCAACGAATATTTATGAAGATTTATGTGTGATCGAATCATTAAACCCTTTATGGAAAAATTATGCGTTTCACAAAGCAATTTAATATTTTTTATTTGTACATGAAAATCAAAGACCCAACGACTGCGAATACGAAGTCTTTGAATGCAAATTAACATACTACGAAAAAAAAAAAAAAAATTTAAATTAACCAGTGTCAATTGGCAACTAAGTTTTAAGGAATGTTGAAAATGTCAGAATTGCTGAAGACGTCTTGCACAAATTTTTAGCAGACATAATTTTGGTAGAAATATCTTTGCAGAAAAAAAAAACGTCTCAGAAACACCAAAAATCCAGTCTGGTATAACAGACAAATAAAAAAAAACTTGAAAAAACGAAGGCAAACAGCACATAAAATTTTCAAAAAACACAAGTAGTGATAATTTATCAATCTATTTATGTCGCGATCAACTGAATTTAACCATCAGTAATGCAATTGATGAATATAATTCAGAAACTGATATTGTAATAAAGTCCTGTCAGATGAACTTCTTGAAAAACGTAAAAACCAGGACTAGTTTTACCTGACAATTTTCCTTTGGTAATGCATCTTGACGAAAATGTTGGCGGTAGATCGGAAAAAGCTGTAATCTACATGCAATTTTTTTTCAAGAATTCTACACCACATTTTCTGAAGAAGATCGTGATTGCTATTATTTTTCATTTTATCCAGAATTTTCAAGGGACATTGTCGTCAATCTACTTCAAGTGCAGGATATTTTGTAGGCTTTAAAGAATTTAGACGCCTCAAAAGGTCCTGGACCTGACGGAATTCCTTCAGTATTTAAAAAAAAGTCTAGCGATGGAACTCACTGCTCCATTGTTTTGGATTTTTAATATGTCCCTGGAATCCGAAATCTTCCCAATCATTTGGAAAAGCTCATTTCCAGGGTCTATCTTTAAATCTGGCCGAAAATCTGACGTACGCAATTATCGTGGAAAAGCCATCAATTTTTCGAGGCAATTGTCAACGAAAAATTATTTCTCCAAATCAAAAATAGAATTACTGGCATGCAACATGGTTTCTTCAAGCGTCGTTTGACCTCGACAAATTTAGTTGAGACTATTCATTGAATGCAATGGGAACCACGTAGAAACCCTCTATACAGACTTTAGCAAGTCATTTGACCGCATTCACATACCAATGCTACTCTATAAATTGCTAAAATTGTTCACATACCAATGCTACTCTATAAATTGCTAAAAAATGAAATTGAGTCAGGGCTCCTGAAATGGCTTGAATCATATTTAACTTACCGCCAGCAAGTAAGTAAATTCAACGGAAAGAAATCGAGCCCAATTGAAGTCACTTCAGGCGTCTGTATGTACTAGTCCACGCTACGACTACGTGAGCTTAGAATCGAAGGAAGCCTCGACCAAATCCAACGCCGAAATTCACGACGCACTGCCGCAGGATTTGAAGAAGAACTTTGAGAACGTGGTGCGGAATGCGGATGCGGCAGCAGCCACCGGCAGCGATAAAACGGAAGCCCTGAACCCGAACGACAAATCCGTACTGGTTTACTATGCCACGCAGACATTGACGCACATGGGATACCTAACGCAAGCGATCGACGCCTTCCTGCAGACGGTGGAGTACAATCAGCCGCCGAAGTTTTTCCTCGCCTACGGAAAGTTCGTTGTGCTGAGTGCCCACAATTTGGTCAACATTGTGCATCGGTACGTGTCGCGGGTGCTGCAGTGCCCAGATGCCTTGTCAAAACGTGCGTGGCCAAGACGAAGAAAGCGGCCCATCATTTTCCCAGTGTGACGGCCGTCCAGGAGATGGTCGATTCCGTGGTGGACATAACCAACCCATTCCTAGGGTTCTATTTTCTAAAGCTAGGTCCAGTGATCTCAAATTTGAGCATTCTTTTGTGTTTTGCTTTCTGATAGGTGGATTGGTTTGCGATCAGGGGCACGGTTATAGCTCGTAAATTATTTAGTATTTTCTCATTTAACCTAAAACAAATACAGTCAAATTTCGCTCCTTGGGCTATGTTTAAGTGGGCTACGTTTTAGTTAAGCTCCCGTTAGTTCGGCTGTAGCCCACCTAAATCGAAGTCAAATGTCATTTCTGACAGGGCTGTTTCCTTTTCTAGGGGCTCATGTATGAACAATTTGGATAGTTGCTAAAGGATAGTGATGATAATAAACAATCGGTGTATCCAGCAACAAATTTTCAACTTGACTGCTCAGCACAACGAACGAAAGCCTTTCACTAAGTGGGCTACAGGTTTAGCCCAACGAGCGAAAGTTTACTGTACAGCATTCCCTCCATATATGCGGTGAGTGGTACCGTCCACCCACTGCTATTTCTCGGTTGTCCTTCAACCGATTACGTTGATTTTCTGTATGTGATTAGTGTCAACCATAAACTAGTTATCTACAAAAAATCAGCTCATCGTATGGCTTACCTTTCTTACTAACATAATTCCTAAATTCCCGAGACATTTATGAGGGGTCGTAGAGTTCTCTGCATCTCTCTTAAGTAAGTGTTGGACTAACATTCCTTTCCTATCCCTACCAGTTGCAAGGACGTGGCCAGGACAATCCTTAACTGTTGGTGAGGGATATGTCTTTATCTGGGACATAGTAATTATTTACTACTTAATATCTGTCCAGTAATAGATATCCGTCATGTTCTTAATAGTTTCGAATTCGTACCACCTACGATATTGTGCAACTTGTTCGATGCTAATGCTAATGCTAATGCTAATGTATGTGTTCCAGTCTACGTGGATTGATGAAATAAATAAATAAATTAAATCAAAACATATACTCAGAACAGACATCAGTGGAGCTAATCAGGCGAGAAATTGAAAGAATATGAAAAACGTTCGTTCTCACCAATGCAAATTCGGAAAAGATAGATTAGAGACAGAATGATTTAGTTATAAAATCAGCGATAAATTGTGTTTGGATTAGATTCTCCCCATTTGGATTAATTTTGCCTGCTAAAGCATAGCCAAAATAGTATGAAGCTAGGAAGAAATGATTGATTCGCTCAAATAAATGTACTTGAAACCGACTCAGCAATTAGCCACGGTATGCTCAGCTGTAAATTTTCGCTCAATTCAGCGATCAACAGAGCATGTAGCTGTCTTCACCAAATCCAATTTATTTGAGAAAAAAAATATCATAGATAAAAAACTCGCAGTACTTCAGATAAATTTTAGCATGACCGAAATGATTAGTTTTGATCTGGTTATTAAAATTAACGATGGCATACGTTTTGTTAAAACTTTGGCCATTATCACCAATGCAAAATTTAGAAGCTATTTAAATAACTGTGAAATAATAGACCTAAATATGCCCCCGCTAAAATTGAAAACAAAAATTGCCACCCTGTCAAATCAAATCGTATATGCCTTTATACGCAAAAGTCATGTTTTTGAATAATATACAATTTGTTTGTTTCGTTTATCATAGAAACAACTTTAATATACATACATTCTGGTTGCTTGCGGTGGCATCTTTCTATCTGAAGTAGGGTTCGTCGCTTTTATCGGAGAGGAAATGTTGTTAGCCAAGATGTTCAGTTTTTACCTAATTTGCTCATGTCAAGCAACTTGATTTCGAAAATTGTACCATTACACGGGTCCTCGCACTCATTTTTTTTGTTCATTAAACATTGTCACCCAACAGGGGTGCTTCAACAGCTTCGGACCAGCGCCAACCGACTCACTCGTTTGCATTACACAGCAACTTTTCTGTTACCAGTAATAAAATAAATATCAAACACGACCACCACCAGCAGCAGCAGCAGCTGCAGTAATCCAACCGTACCGAGAGCGGGTACTAACTCATGCATTTAAAGTATGGCATTTCACGTCGATTTCTCTTTTCTTTTTTTCTTTAGTGAAAAACATATTACCAACTTCACTAGGAGTTTGATTTTATGTTAATATCTGTATTGAACCGAGCACTTTCTATGGGAATTGTTAATTCATGCATGTTTGTTGTTTTCCTCAAGAAAGAATTTATCGATTTCACCAAAACGATCTTTCTTCATTTTCAAACGAAAATACCATCCAAACTTTGAGCTAATTGCACACTTCAATCCCCCGTCACAAATTCCACCTTCACTTACATTTCACACACAATCAGCAGCGGTTGATTCGTTCTCCCTCTCTCGATCGCTGTCAGTTCACCGTCAGACGTGACAATTGCGGAACACAATTAACCCTATAATTACGCCATTGTTGTATATTTCTTTTTCGCCTCACTTCACCACCAAAACTACTGGGAATGGGAATCTATCGGGGCGCAGCGATAATCATAGTAGTTGTAGTTGTAGTAGGTAAGGGCAGTTAATAAGCACTCTCTTCTTTCTTCCAGATTTTCAAGCTACGGAGCACAACCTACGCGGGGCAGTGTGCGTCGAGTGCACTTGTTTATTGTTATTATTATTCGCAGATTCGCGATCACTTCGCTCGCAGCAGCTCCCGGAACTTTCCGTGGGAGTGAGTGACAATGTCCACACTACTGAGTCAGGGTTTTTTTTTCTACACGAATTGTACGATCCGACCGAACACGATCACCTCCAAACAGCGACTGAGCCGTGGCGCTGCCAGTGGTGAAATTGTGAGAATGAATGGGAATTGGGGTGGCTGAATCGGGCGATCGCTGATCCGGGGGAGCTGGTGGGCTGGTTGGCTCTCTCTGAAGTAGATTTGCGCTCTCACGCGATGCGATGCATGCAGATGTGGGTTTCGCTTGTACACGCGGGTTTGTGTGGATGGGAAGTTTCGAATGAGACACTGGACTGTTGGGTGAGATCGATGGAGATGGATTTCGGTGTTGGATGCTTGTTGAATTAAGAATACATATATCGATCTATTTAGACCAGTTCCAGGCTAAATAGGATAAAAAATTAAAAATTATCGTAGGTATCACATATTCTTTTCATTAATTTCTTTGCCACCACGTAAACGTTTTTATTTTTCTAAAAACATTGAGCAAAATTATCAAAAATCCAAGAAAATCAGTTTCTTTCTTAGATTTTTGCCTAAAATAGCATGTAAAAATATTTTATGATAAGATACATGAAAAAAAAATTGGACTCTCATCAAAACCGAAAAGTCGATGTTTTTTGGTTTTTTGAGTCCAACTTTATGCCATAATGACTTATAAAAAATGTTTTTGCACGTGAACTTTCTTTGAAAAATTAGAAAAAATGTGATTTTTTAGATTTTTTAACCAATAATTTTTTCCAATAATTTTAGAAAACTCAAAGCGTAAATATTTTTTTCGGAGCGGTGAGCTTCCCCTTAACTCTTTCATTGGACGATACTAGTTAGATTAAATAATGTACATTATATCTGTATTCCAAATACGACTAAAAAGTGTATTTTTCAATTGCGTAACATACTTTCATTGTTTCAAAAATACCAAGGGGAAACAGTCCTATTGTTGCGGTACGTTTGTAGCGTTAGAAACCTATTGCTGTGTATGGAGGTCTCCATACACAACAATAGGATCCTAACGCTTCTAACGTATCGCAAAAATAGGACTGTTTCCCCTATATTGCAGTTGGTATCATACATAATTTATGTATAGCTTTATTTTCGAAAAGGGCGAATGCTTCCGTTATGACTGTACCATTTACCATGACAGGGTGCTTTGAGATGGAGTCAGGTGGCCGTGGAAGTACTCACCGTAAACAAAATATACTTTATGCATGAGCATGAGCATGATTGACCGCCCACGGTTGCTACTCTGTTATTGCCAGACCAGCTGTATTTACACAGATAACCAATAGATGACGCTTGGGACTATCAATCATCCTCAATGTGTTAAAACTGGTGATCTCAAACTAGGCAATACCAGCGCCAGCCGCACCCGAACACAGGTCAAGAAAGGAAGGTGTAGGAATGTGTTGACGTGACACTCGCTTTGATAGAAGCCGAGAACACCTCTGAACTTCCACGAGGAATCATTTGAATATTTGGTAATAGGGTTGGGTTTGCAGCAGCGATCGTTTTGGTAAACGATACGCTGAATTGATGTCCTAACGATCATATAATGTGAAGGAGCTTGGGATTGAACCCTCTCTGCTCAGTAAGCAAAAACGTTTGCCACTAGGCAGACGAGCTCCTTTTTAAACATCGAGTTGCTGTTATTATCATGTAGTCTTGTTAACAAATAAAACGATTGACGAATCTTGAATGTGGATAGGCTTGAGATTGGACTCATGATGTTCTGATCAGTAAGCAAAAACGATTGCTGTAAGGCCAACTGAGCCCCTCATATCACATTATATCATTACTCAAGTTGTTATAACTATTTAACAACGAACAGTTTTACAAAATACACGATAATCAAGCGATCTTACAATACATTTTAAGTATGAAAGGACCTGGGATCACTTTTTTCTGCTCAGTAAGCAAGCCACTGCAACCGACGATCTTTCAAATCCTAAAACTAAAAGCTACGAAAGAGTACTTAGGCCTTCACTAAGTTCCACCTTCACGCGACGTCCAATGTTTCGATTTGCTCTTAACGCATGGTTCAGGCAATCATAACAAGCTATGACCAACGTGACGATTGTTTGAGCCTTATTTGAGCTATTCAAATGAAATTACGTTCTCGAGTTTCTCTTGGTATGTAATGAACAATAGAAATACGCGATAATTCATATAGTTTCAGTGGTTGACCGACGAATACGATGGCGATTACGACAGCGACTACGACAGCGACTACGACGGCGAATACGACGGCGCCTACGACAACGACAACAGCGAATTTGTAACTTACCATTTGTCTAGGATATAACATCTTTGCCCGGCACCTCCACTTGAGCTTCATATCTGCTATCTGTCACTGTTTGCATACTTCGTGCATTATCATGGTCATCTGGGAGAAGGTTCGCGTCTAGTGCTTTCCCCAGGAACCGTTCACGGCCACCAGCTACCACCCGTCCAGTCTTGGACGTATCTAGCGAGGCATCCTTCAGCTTGCTCACAATCTCCGACACTGGCGAGAGACCAGCAGACGAGCACTTTGGCAAGCCGTACACTCGCTGTTTCACGGCAACGTCGGTCACCGAATCACCACCAAAACACATTATCAGCACTTTCCCCAGCAAATTTACCAACCGGACCGCGTTCAAACTTATACACGGGGACGAGACTCTCGATAGAACTACACGCCGAAAGCGTAACATCCGAACACGGTGAACTGGCTTCCTGGTAGGCAATGAAAATCATAAGCATACTTACACACCGCTGGTTCCAAAAAACACACCCGTGGAAAGAAACGGATCCAATAAACGTCACTCTCGCGAAAGCAAACCCGTCTTTGAACGGCACAAAAAAAAAAAAGGAAATCGGTGAGCAATTTTGTGATACGAAATTTCCACTGAAAATCAACTGGGAATGCACGAATTTCACCACACCCAACTGCGAAACACATTCACAAGCACTTTGGATACACTTTCGGTATCAATTTCGGTCGAAAACACTTAATGTTTTCGCAAAAACAATTGCGAGCGAACCAACATCAACACCCTCACCGTAAACAAAATACTTTAGATCCTATAGGAAACTAATCTCGGAAGGAAGCATTTCATCACAGAAAACAGTAAGATGGACGAAGACAAGATTAATTTTGCAGGCCAATGTACAAAGGTAGCATAATTAGGAGATAGAGAGAAATTTTTACTTTTAGACTGATCTCGTGGGAAGAATAGGATACGGGGGTTCGCATAGGAAGGCAACTACCCAACAAACAATTCAGAGTCACAAATAAGCATATATATTGGATAAATGCTTTATAACAGTGAACAATGCTGAATAAAACGGGCTGTCAAATTGTGTGCTGACATGCCTCATGGAGATCGATAGATGCACCGTTATTCCGCTATTTGCTCTGATTTGATTAATATACTTATTAAAAGCTATACAAACGATGCACATACAAATAACATACTGAATAAGTGTAATTTGCACATACATTGACGCTTTAATTCGACTGTTTACAATTGATTTAATAAGATGCTTTATTATACGTCTAATAATTGTTTTCTAGCTTCATTATTAGATTCCATTGCATTGCCTAACAATATTGCTGAATAAAGGTGAATACAGTCAGCATAATACCTCTTATACCACTATGCGTCCATGATTTAATTGCATGCTTTGTAAATGCTTTACAAACGGCGTTTTCATTCATTATTCCACAGCACTGTTTCAGGCTAACAACAAAACGATATTAGTAGCATAGTGGTTACCGTTTCCGCTTACCAAGTAGTTTCAATCCCAACCCAAACCCTTTTTTTATTTATTTTCTACGCCTAATTAATTTAAATCGTAATCATAGATCGTATCACTCACGACCACCAATACCGAATAGCCCTGCATCCTTTCCAAGTCTCATGTAAAACAACTGTGAATGAATTAGTCATTCTCACATCTCCTTGAATTAGCTAGAGTTACGGCTGGGAGTGCTGATAGGTATTAAGATTCAAGCTTTTATTGCTTATTTAGCTGCCCATATGATGTATTCTAGGATAGCTCAGATGGCAAGGCAAGCGGCTGGTGATCGGAAGGTCATGGTTCGAATCCCATATAACGACATGTGTGTGATAAATTTTCTAGTATCTGTGTGGTGGGCGTGTGCTTCGAAAGAAATAATGACACAACAAAATCACTAAACGAGAATAACCCCCTGCTCTATCTCGCTCTTATTTTCAGATTAATTATCCTGTAGTTGAATAATCGTTTTAAAAATGTATAATAGTGTCTAATTTAACATTATTTCACATGAGAATCAAGCTTCTTTATACCATCGCTGTTTAAGGAAATAATGATGTCTAATAACCACTGAATAATCAAAAATTTGATCGAATAAGCTCTGTTACAACTCTTGTAAGCTTCTCGACATACCTTATGCAAAACCAAATATTTCGATGTTGTGGTTGAATTAATTCTCCAGATTTGTGTGAACAAAGCCTGAACAGAAGTTATTATTCAACATAGTACAAGTATCATTAAGCATGCAGTTGAATAAAATCGTCAAAAAGTCGTTTCTACAATAGGCAATTATTTGTTGGGTAGGTCTGACATATGTAGAATAAATCCCTCCACTTAGTTTAATTTAATTATAGCTATGGAAGCTTTTATTTTAGCCAATGCAAGTAGTAATCAGATCTTCGATCATTTATTTGCTAACAAGTGGATTTTACGGCAGGAAGAGTTGAGTAACCTTCAATAAGTAATGATAGAATGAGGCTAGCCTGGTCAGGAACACATTGATTGTTTGTAGTGGGAGTTCGGATTTTTATGTAATTTACTTTATCGGTTAGGGACTGGTATTAGTTTGGGTTGGGTTTGATTAGGTTAGAATATACCCTGCATTATTATTTGTGGTGATAAGGGCCTGTTCATAAACTACGTAGACAGTTTTTTTGGATTCTTGACCCCCCCCTCCCCCTGCGTAGACAATCGCCCATACAAAAATTTTAAAATTTGTATGGACCGTGGATAATTGTCAACCCCCCCCCCTCCTAAACTGTCTACGTA